GGGCAGTGGTGAAAGTGTTGACTCTCTGCTAGACTCCCTCTGACACCCAAGTGGGTGGGAGTGGAAGTTTAGGTTCCCCATTTGGTCTTTACTGGCAGGGTGTAGGTAATACTACAATTTTTTCTATGGTTTAGCTGGAGTGGTTATTTTGTACAAATTTTCTTTCTTGCAAGACTGTCCCTTTCTGGTCCTTTGGCTAGTAAGTGCAGGTTTTCTTTTTTTTTTTTTTTTCCTTTACCTGCACTCATTAGTTTATAGTTTTCTGCCTTCTCCATACTCAATTTGAGATCTATTAGGCATAGGTAAAAACAAAACCCTAGGCCAGTGCCATGTGATTCCACAGGTCCTGAGGTCCCTAACCATTCTATCTTCTTCTTTCAACGCTTCAGAGTCTCCTTATATTTGTGTTTTATATAATGTCCAGGGTGTTTTGCCTGTACTTAGCAAAGGGAATAAGCAGAAGTGTTTTTACTCTATATTGTCTCAGAACCAGACATCCCCAAGGGCATTTAAAACATTCTGTATCATCTGGCAAATAGCCAGTGGGGACAATGTTCCCCTAAATTGATGGTGCGGTCCCTCATCTTCCACCCTTACCCGCCCAGTGTTCTGCTGTGTGAATTTTTTTTTTTTTTTTTTTTTGAGACAGAGTCTTGCTCTATTAGTGCAGTGGCATGATCTCAGCTCCTGGGTTCTCAGCCTCCTGGGTTCAAGTGATTCTCCTGCCTCAGCCTCCCAAGTAGCTGGGATTACAGGAATGCACCACCATGCCTGGCAAAATTTTGTATTTTTTGTAGAGACAGGGTTTCACCATGTGTGCCAGGCTGGTCTTGAACTCCTGACCTCAAATGATCCACCCGCCTCAGCCTTGCAAAGTGCTGGGATTGTAGGCATGAGCCACTGTGCCCAGCCTGTCTTATTTCACTTAGCGTTATTATGCGACATTGCAGCATATATCAGAATGTCTTTCATTTTTAAGGCTAAGTAAAATTCTGTTGTACATATATACCACATTTCATTTACCCATTTATCTGTTGATAGATGTTGGCTTGGTTACACCTTTTGTCTATTGTGAATAATGCTGCTACAAACATGGGTGTACAAACATGTCTTCAAGACCCTGCTTTCAATTCTTTGGGGTATATACTCCCAAGTGGAATCACTGAATCATATGGTAATTCTGTTTGTAATTTTATGAGGAATTGCCATACTGTTTACTATAGCAGCTATACCATTTTATATTCCCATCAAAAGTGTACAAAGGTTCCAATTTCTCCACATCTTCAGCAATGCTTGGTGTATATATAAAGATATAAATATATATATATATTTTTTATAGTAGCCATTCTAATGGGTATGAAGTGGTATCTATCTCATGGTGGTTCTGATTTGCTTTCCCTAATTAATGATATTGAACATATTTTTATGTGCTTATTGGCCACTTGTATATTTTTTTCTTTTTGTTTGTTTCTTTTTTTTTTTTTTTTTTAGACAGGGTCTCGCTCTGTTGCCCAAGCTAGAGTGCAGTGGCGCAATCTTGGCTTGTGGCAACCTTCGTCTCCTAGGCGATCTTCCCACCTCAGCCTCCCGAGTGGCTGGGACTACAGGTGCATGCCACTACGCCTGGCTAATTTTTGTATTTTTTGTAGAGACAGGGTTTTGCTATGTAGCCCAGGCTGGTCTCCAACTCCTAGGCTCAAGCAATCCACCCACCTCAGTCTCCCAAAGTGCTGAGATCACAGATGTGAGCCACCACACCCGTCCCTCATTTGTATATCTTCTTTGGAGAAACGTCTGTCTAAGTCTTTAGCCCATTTTTGAGTTAGGTTGTTTGTTTCTTTTGTTGTTGAGTTGTAAGAGTTTTTTTTTTAATACATTCCAGATATTAACCCCTTATCAGATATATGACCCAGTATTGTCTTTTTACAATTGGTCAGTTTGAACCAGCAACCAACAAAGTCATACTATATTAGTGCATTTGATCTTTATGACCCAAGTCTTATCTCATCTAGAGGAAATCCCTCTCTCCAATTCTCTCCCTGGTCATTAACTTGTGGCGAAATCCATGTCCATCGTCATGCAGAATCGTAGTTTTGAATTACAACTATGCTGCTGCCCTCCAAAGTTTCCTGCTTTGCCTTTGATAATTTCAGCAGTAAATTTTCCTTATTGAAAAAGGAAAGTTTCTCTTTTGAATGTTCCTAGAGGACTAAAACTGAAAATGAGAAGAGGAAGCTTTATTCACATTTGGGAACCCAGCTAATGGGAAGGAAGGCACTGGAGACAGGCAGGTGTGAGGAGTGTGAGAGTCAGATAGGGGTGGGGAGCGCACATTTGGGTCAACAGCCTGGCCTGAGAGAAGAGAGGCTTTTCCCAAGAGGGGACCGGCCCAGGACTGTCTCCCCAGCCATAGGCAGCACATGGCAGACCCTGGGGGCACCGCCAGGGCCACACTGTGGCTCTGCTTCCCAGGGGATGCTGGAGAGAAAGGTTCGGCCTCAGGAGTTCTCTGAGTACACAGGGCCTTCCCAGGAGTACCTGAGGGCACAGGGGCAAGGCTGGGGAGGCTCCAGCATCCAAGTGGCTCAAGAGCCAGGACATGGCAGCAGATAGACCACTGAGACAAAAGCTACTGTCACTGACAATGTCTGAGCACTCTAAAATGTCACTAGAGTTCTCTCTGGGATTATTATGAGTTTTTTTCTTTGTATTTTCCAAATTTTCTTAAACAGTGAAAAAGCAATACATTTGCTTTAAAAATAGATCAGTACCTTTAGGATTAACATAGATGTGCCCAAAGAAGATTAATAGGAATAACAGTGCAGTGCTCAGTGACTAGAGTTGGGGGGTCCTCCAGACTCTTTGGAGCATAGATTAGCCCCTACTCAAAGACTGGGCCAGGGCCCAGGAGCATGGCACAACCCAGAAAAGATTGAACATGGCCGGAGGAGGGCAGTCTCCTGAGTGTCTTTAGCTGAGATCAGTATTCCTGGTTCTGCCTGCAGCCCTGCTGAGGACTGAACCTATGAGGAGGGGGCCCAGCTTTCAGGAAGCCCCTGCCAAATCCACTGGAACCTACCCAGTGGACCAGCTTCTCTTACCCACATTACTGCTTCCAAACCTCTTCCGCTCAACACACAAAAGTTTCCAAGGTAGAATATTCTTTATTATGATAAACTCAGGATGCAGGATGTATTCCAGGATACAGAAGAATGGCAAATATAGGCTTTTCTCAGATATCTTTGAAATTATTATAATGCATACAAAATATGTAGAAGATGCTTCTTGAGATTGCTCTAAAATTCCCAATATTAAAGGGGGACAGGTGCATGGCAGCTAAACACCTCAACAAGATCATACATAGAGGGGCCTCCATTCCCTCCCAAGATCCTGAGAAAAGACACCTTGCTCCAGCCTGGCTGAAAGTGGAGCAAAGAGATGCATTTTCTATTGGATCTAGGGTCCTAAGGTCTGCCCTGGGGCACAGACACTTAAGACCATGACACCTTGTCCCCAAAGGACAGCTTGAGAGTAACGTACAAATCACTCTGGGAAGGAGGGAGAGAACAGCTATGTCTGTAGTTCATTGTTGTGTGAGTTTACGCAGCTCTCCTCTCTCTGTGCTTCATTAGAGGTATAAATACCAGTTCACTGGGTCCTTTCCAGAGTTTGGTTTCAATGAGTAGGGACACAAGAGAAAAGGAATACAAGAGTGCCCAATTTTTGTTCAGGGACATGGTTAGGCTCCCTCAATGATGGGACTTTCCCACCTAGCTGTTCCTGGGAGCTGTACCTAGAGAAACGTTTGTATGCAGCTGCCTGTGTGTGTGAGAGTGCACGTCTGTACATATGTGTGTGTCTGTGTGTGTTTGTATGCGCCCATGTGCCCACAAGCTTTGGGGCAGGAGGCTCTTATATGGTCGCTGTTTGTAAACAAATAACTTTGTAAGGCAATCAAGGTACAAAGTTGGTGGGAAAGCTCTCAGAGGGTGGCCCAGGGAGGAAGGCTCCCTGCTCACATTATTACAGTGACTCATCCCCAGAACTCATACTTGATGAATATGCCAGAGGCCAGGATCCCTTCTCATGCCAGGTGGAGCTGAGAGCATGACCACAGGCATCCTGACAGGCGGAAATGAAAAGCAGCTCAAGCTGCTCAGGCAAGTCTCTTGGGGACTCATCACTGCTGAAGGTTGGGCAGAAGCTGGGAGGTGTCAAAGATGCAGATGAGAGGTGGGCCCATTAAGAAATAAGGCTCAAGGTGGGATCTCCTTGTGCTGGGCCAACCTGCTTCCCCACCTGCCCTGTGGGGAAGTGGAATGGGAGGTGTGCAGAGAGGCACTGAAGCATCAGTAGGCATCATTGTGGAAGAAGCTGCCTCAGCAGTGTCGTGGTCACAGCAGTGGCCAACATGTAGTCCAGCAACAGCCAGCTCTCCCGCAACCAAGACTGCCCTCCCCCAGGAGACCCGGAGCTATGCTTCACCTTTCCCTACAGGGATTCAAACATAGCTACTCTCTGTTCTCCCCATCCTACTCCTCAAGTGAGGAAACTGAAGTTGAAGATGTATGAATGGCTCAGAGCAGAGCTGGCTCTGCTGGTCCTTCTCCTAGCCCCAGCTGGTCCTGTTCTATACTGTCCTGGCTGATAATCCAGCAAGTGGACATGCCACTCACAGCCACTGGTTCCATGCAGAACATGAAATGTGATGTCCAGCTGCTGCAGATGTGTCTGTGAAGTTGGCCTCTCCAGGAATTGAGAGGCAAGTAGAGCACAGATTCCTCCTAATAACCAAAGGAGGAGGCAGGGCAGAAGTACATGGACAGGCAGACAGATACACGCACACCCAGGGCCTCAGAACAGTCTTCAGGGCAGGGACAAGGCCTTGGCAAGGCGAGTCCAGAACCAAGATTTGGTGCAGGGGTTGGTGTAATCGCAGACAGTGATGAACCTCAGGATGCTGGGGAACTCTTTCTTCATTGCCTTGTACTTGATGGGGATCAGTCGCTTCTGATGGGCACCTGCAAGCCAAGGGGTGCCATGCTGGCATCAGGCCCTTGCCCCATGGTGGGACAAGCCCAGTCTTCAACACAGGGGTTAACAACAGCCATCCCCCATCTAAGCACCCTGGCACACATTCACTCACACAAAAAGGCACACACATGTACACATGCTCAGGTGTGCAGAGATCTTCAGCGGTTCTTTGGTACTGCATCCACAGCCCTTGGGGAGGGAAGGCTGACAATCCAGAGGCCCCACCTACACATTCCCTCATTATCTTGCCAGAGCAGGGTTGAGCTTACCTGGAGAGAGGCTGAGTGCAAATTTGGTCTGGAAGTCACATTCCTTGCTCTGCAGGTAATCATCAGAGACAACCACCACCATCCGGCGGCACCTAGGGAAGAGTGGGCGGGCTGCAGGTCCCGTGGCAACTTAGTCCAGCATATCCCCTGGGAATAGCTTCGGGAAGAGCCCACTGTGCCCAGGCTGGACAGTGCACAGCTAGGAAGAGATGCCCAGTATCTGGACCCCAGGGCAGGGCTTCATGCATCCACCCACCCACCCCACGGCCTTCTAGCCAACCTCTTTTCGATGAGTTCACTAGCAATGGACCAGACACAGGTGCCAGGCAGGACATCACGGTCAGACACACACAACTTCAGTCGATAGTTTGTCTGTTCCAGTTGCCGGATCATCTCCTGCACAAACTGGATGTCGCTGGGGCAATAGCAGATGAAGGCATCGAAACGCTCAGGCATATGCCCTGGGTGCACAGCACAAGGGTGGCGGTCAGAGCTCCATGGGAAGTCTTGGAAGGGGTCCAGCCAAGAGTCCCCTGCCTAGGCAACCCTGGGCCCTGTACCCTTCCCAAGATGATACTCCTCAGAGAAAGTGCCCTTCCTGGGAGAGGAAAGATGAATACCTCAGGGGCTAAGCTCTGGATTAACCACGAGATAGACATTGTTTCATGAGCATCTCATAGCAATCCAGATGTAAGACTATTATCTCCATTTCTCAGGTGAGGAAACTGAGGCTCAGAAAGATTAAGTGACTTGCTCAAGGTCCCACTGCCCATCTGCTTCCAACACCCATGCTCTTAACGCCACAGTGTCCTATTCCACCTGTCCCATGGGAACAGTATTGGACCCTTACCCAGGGGGTCGTCAAGTGTGGTGATGCCCGCCAGTTCTGCTGTCCGTGGGACACTGCTGTCTACAGCGGCCACCTGTAAAGGCTTCTCAGCCTCCTCCTGCTGCTGCTTCAAGATATACTTTTGGCAATCTTCCTCTGTGGGGAAGAGACAGGGTAAAGCAGGTTCCCTGGGAGTGCCCACCTCTTTACCCGCAGTCAGGATCCAGGAGCTGTCCCACCTCCTCTGGCTGGGTTGTTCTAGAGGGCTTCCCCAGCTCACTGGTGCCATGAGCAGTTCAACAGCTCTAAGAAGTTGAGCTCCCACTGGCTCTCACTGACAAAGGGATGTCAGTGGTGTTCTGGCTTTCTGGAAGGCCATCAAAGTCAGGTTTGTATCTCTGTCCCTTCCTAGGGATCCTGAGAATGGTACCAAGGTAGGTCTGCTGCTTCTAGGATCCAGGGCAGATGTGAGCAAGGCGCTGGGCATGCCAGAAAGGCTCAGGAGACCCACTGGTTATGGTGCAGTGAGGGCAGTGATTCCAACCCAGAAGGTGTGCCTGTCTGTGGGCAGCTGTACCTAACGCCTATGCATGTATATTATGTAAGTGCCACTGAGTAGAAAGAAGGGCTGCATTTCCCCAGGATCTGAGATTTCTAAGACAGTCCACTGTCAGTCGCCCCACCTGTCCTGTTGCTCTACTTGAAACAGCCCAGATGCCCCCACAGAAGCCTGATTCTGACTCCTGGTCCTACCTGAAAGCCTCTGCCTAAGCTGCTTTCTTTCCATCTCGCCTCTCCGGACCTTTCTCCAGTCCTTCTTAATAACCAGTCCCGGTTATTAAGAAGGAACGGGACCCGCATGGTTCTCCCTCTGCAGGCTTCTCCGGCCCCCGAGGCAGGAAATGGGGTCTCTCCATGGGAGACAGGATGCTGAGGCCGCGGAAAGTCAGCCTCCTCACCCCCCAGGTACGAGGCCAGGAAGGGGACGTCCTCACCAATGCTGGGTCCCAGCTCCAGCAGCACGTCGTCGCGGCCCAGCTTGGTAAGCAGCTCCAGCAGTCGGCCTACCGAGGCGCCAGGGCGTCCCTGCCAGGCGTCCAGCAGCCTGCCAGTGGGGTCGGCGTGCGTCTCCAGTTGCCGGATCTCCAAGTACTCAAAGTCCATCTCCTCCGCCAGCGCGGTCCAGTCGGCCGCCACCTGTGTCCGCACGTTCAAGAACAGAGATAGGCGGCGCCGCACTCGCATGTTGAGAGCAGCCAGGGGAAGGGAGGATGTGGAGGAGACCGGGGCCGCAGGCTCAGTGCCGGGACCTCCTGCAGCCATGGCGGGCTGTCCTGGAGCCTCGGCGCGGTCGGGTCGCATTGTCTGCCAGCGCTTCCTCTTTCTCCTACGACAGCCGCCCCGCCCCGCCCCGCCCCGCCCCGCCCTGCCGGCTTTCGCTTTCCGAGAAGCGCCGCCCTGCCCTACAATCCGGAGCCCCGCGCAAAAGTGCGGAGGCGGGGGCGCCCACCTCTACCCTCGAGGTCTGGAGGCGGGGGATGTGGGAGCGTGAGAAGTAGGAATATGCCTTTTGAGATCTGGAGAGGTCCACAGCACTGCCCTCGAGGGTCTGATGATGGTAGTAGTAGGTAGGCGGCGGAGTGAGAACGACCCTCCTTCAGAGGTTGTAGGAAACGGGCCTTGCTTTTTGGGATCTGGTGGAGCCACAATTCTTCCACTGGGGAATCTGAGGGGTTCATACGGTCCTGCCCTAGAGGATGGCGAGGAGGGGACAAGTGGGAAGGCACCAGCTCCGCCCTCCACTGTCTCTGGGGAACACGCAATCCTGCCAGTAGGGGTAAGGGAAGACCCCTGCTGTGCTCCCCAGGTGGGAGTGGGAAAGGGACAGCTGTCTTCTGGAGCCTGAGGCATGCCGTGACCCTGCCATCAAAATGGTTGGGGACGTCATGACACTAGGTTGGGGACCACAAGGCACCCTGTCCTTTGGTGTCTGTGGGAAGCCCAGCGCTACTCTCCAGGGTCTCAGGTAAAGACATGGCCCTGCTATTGGGAGTCAAGGGGGCACGTGGCCTTGCTCTTTAGGTTTAGGGACACAGTCCTGACCTAGGGAGCCCTGGTTCATTCATTTACTCATTCAACAAGTACTTATTGATCATCTACTAAGTGTCAAGCCTGTCCAGGCTCTCTGCCTTGGTGGAGCCCCCAGCCTAGCACGGGAGATGGGCACTAATAAAATCATTCCAATTGGGTGTAAAACTGGTAAAAGTGTGAAACGTTCATTCTCCAGTTAGAGAGCTTGTCACACCCCGGCACCTCTGTAAAATCTGTTCTCCCGGCCAGTCCGGAAGCCCAAATTCCCTGTCTTCTCGAAAGAATGGGAAAGCCCACCCACGTCGGAGTAGGACTCGGGCGTCTCGGAAGTATTTAGGTCCCCCAGCTCGGGTACTGGGACCGGAGGGATAGCAGAGCCGACTAGGAAGTGGGTAGAGGAATTAGAGCCCCGGCTTCCATCTCCATCTCGCAAGCGGAAAGCGGTCCTGGTGCTCCAGCCTTCCGTTTAGCTGCGGGCAGGAGACATGGGTTTGGGGGTCGGGTCTCGGATTTGGCTACAAAAGGTGGAAAGGCTTCCGCTCTGCATTTCTGGGCGGGGATTCGTAAAGATCCACCTTTTGGTTGGCTGCGGTAGGCTAAGGTAGGCGGGGCATTGAGTGGAAAGCTCGGCTGGGCGGTGACTGTGGGCCCTCCTATAGAGGGTTCGGTAGGCGGTGGCGGGGAGGGGCGGGTTCCCAGGCCGACTCACCTTGTGGTTGGCTGCGGCGGGAGGTGGGCGGGACTTTTGGAGGGGCGCTCGCGTCCCTTCTCAGGGCTGTGGGCGGAGTTGAGGCCTTGGAGGCTGAGATGTGGTTCTGCGCGTGCGCGGACGGCTGTCTGTTAACTCCGGCGGTCAGTTCCGCGACTGGTGGCTGGTTTGTAGGGTTGAGCTGCGCAATGCAGAGGCTGCAGGTAGTGCTGGGCCACCTGACAGGCCGGCCGGATTCCGGCTGGATGCCGCAGGCTGCGCCTTGCCTGAGCGGCGCCCCGCAGGCCTCGGCCGCGGACGTGGTGGTGGTGCACGGGCGGCGCACGGCCATCTGCCGGGCAGGCCGCGGCGGCTTCAAGGTGAGGCCCGAGGGTCTGGGTGCCGAGTGTGGGAAGACGCCAGCGCGGGCTGGGGTCCGGTTCGTATGTTTGGTTACCCTGGACGCCGGAGGCAGCTCCGCATCCAGCTGTGGTCGCTTTGTCTCCCTGGGGTGAGCAGGGGGCACTGGGGGTCACCGCGGCTCCTCTTCCTGCTGCAGGACACCACCCCCGACGAGCTTCTCTCGGCCGTCATGACCGCGGTTCTCAAGGACGTGAATCTGAGGCCGGAAGAGCTGGGGGACATCTGTGTCGGTGAGCGCACCACCCAGGCCCTGTGCTGGGCCCTTCCCGTTTTTCTGTTCGTCCAGAGCTCTCCTCACCTCCCCACCCCGAGTTTTCACTGGGGGAACCTCCATGGCCTTGACCTTTGAAGGGGGCCTGCCCCTCCACACCTGTGGGTATTTCTCGTCAGATGGGACGAGAGACTGAGAAAAGAAATAAGACACATAGACAAAGTATAGAGAAATAACAGTGGGCCCAGGAGGCCGGGACACCAGGCATGCGAAGACCTGCACCAGCACTGGTCTCCGAGTTCTCTCGGTATTTATTGATTACTATTTTCACTATCTCGGCAAGGGGAGTCCGGCAGTGTGGGGGAAAGGAAGAGAGATCAGACTGTTACTGTGTCTGTGTAGAAAAAGAAGACATAAGAAACTCCATTTTGATCTGTACTAAGAAAAATTCTGCTTTGAGATGCTGTTCATCTGTAGCCTTAATCTGTAGCCCAACCCTGTCCTCACAGAAACGTGCTGTATTGACTTAAGGTTTAATGGATTTAGGGCTGTGCAGGATGTGCCTTGTTAACAATGTGTTTGCAGGCAGTATAAAAGTCATCGCCATTCTCCATTCTCTATTAACCAGGTACACAATGCACTGCTGAAGGCCACAGGGACCTCTGCCCAAGAAAGACTGGATATTGTCCAGGTTTCCCCCAACTGAGATAGTCTGAGATATGGCCTCGTGGGAAGGGAAAGACCTTACAGTCCCCCAGCCCAACACCCATAAAGGGTCTGTGCTGAGGAGGATTAGTAAAAGAGGAAGGCCTCTTTGCAGTTGAGATAATAGGAAAGCATCTGTCTCCTGCTTGTCCCTGGGAATGGAATGTCTCTGTGTAAAACCCAACCATACATTCTATTTACTGAGTTTGGAGAAAACTACCTTATGGCTGGAGGTGAGACATGCTGGCGGCAATACTGCTCTTTACTGCACTGAGATGTTTGTGTAAAGTCAAACATAAATCTGGCCGACGTGCATATCCAGGCACAGCACCTTTCCTTAAACTTATTTATGACACAGAGTCCTTTGCTCATATGTTTTCCTCCCCACCATTACCCTGTAGTCCTGCCACATCCCCCTCGTCAAGATAGTAGAGAGAGTGATCAATAAATACTGAGGGAACTCAGAGACCGGTGCCAGTGCAGGTCCTCAATTGCTGATCATCGGTCCCCTGGGCCCACTTTTCTTCCTCTATACTTTGTCTCTGTGTCTTATTTTCTCAGTCGTCTCCGCCTTGGGAGAAATACCCACAGGTGTGGAGGGGCAGGACCTCTTAGGCAGGAGAACAGGGTGAACAGGGTGGTGGGGAGAAGGTCAGCAGGAAAACATGTGAGTAAAGGAATCTGCATCATAAATAAGTTCAAGGGAAGGTACTATGCCCGGATGTGCATAGTAGGCTAGATTTATGTTTCTCTTTACCCAAATATCTCAGTGTAGCAAAGAGTAACAGCAGTATTGCTGCCAGCATATTTCGCCTCCATCCACAGGGTGGTTTTCTCCTATTTCAGAATAGAACCAATAGTCGGCTTTACAGACATTCCCTTCCTAGGGACGTGCGGGAAACAGAGGCCTTCCTCTTTTACTAATCTTCCTCAGCACAGACCCTTTACGGGTGTCAGGCTGGGGAATGGTAAGGTCTTTTCCTTCCCACGGGATATGGCCACGAAGCAGTATCTCCAGCTGTCTCAGTGGGGGGAAATCTTAGACAATACCCAGACTTTCTTGGGCAGAGGTCCCTGCGGCTTTCCACAGTGCATCGTGTCCCTGGTTAATAGAGAATGGAGAATGGCTATGACTTTTACCAAGCATACTGTCTGCAAACACATTGTTAACAAGACATATCCTGCACAGTCCTAAATCCCTTAAACATTGATTCAATTCAGCACATGTTTCTGTGAGCACAGGGTTGGGGCTAAAGTTACAGATTAACAGCTTCTCAAAGCAGAAACAATGTTTCTTAGTACAGATCAACATGGAGTTTCTTATGTCTTCCTTTTCTACATAGACACAGTAAAAATCTGATCTTTCTTTTCCCCACAACCTTCAGTCTATCCCACCCCTCACCTTGAAATATTAAACATGATATGGCAAGAGTCTTATCCAGCGGATGCCACCCCTAGGTCAGCAATCACTGTTCCACCTCTCTGGGGTGACAACAGGGCTCAGAGGAGGATACCTGGGGAGATGTGCATTTTCAGAAACTCCCATTTCACTTTTAAGGGCAGGCAACCTGCCCATCTGTGCTGATTTGGAAAAGCTGGGTGCGTGGGCAAGTGAGCATGGGACGCTTAGCGACAGGAGCTGGTGGATGACCAGGACAAGCTGTTGTATGGCTGGCTCTCCCTGCCCCAAACCCTGATGTTCCAGAGCTGCAAGTGAGCCTGCCAAGGGCTAGTGTCCCAAAGAAAGATCTGGAATGCCTCATCTCTGGTTTTCACAGCTATACCTTAGTGCACAGAATACCACCACCTGGTGCTGAATGAAAGTTTATTGTCCACAGGAAATGTGCTGCAGCCTGGGGCCGGGGCAATCATGGCCCGAATCGCCCAGTTTCTGAGGTAAACTTTTCTAGTTCTAGCCATGGGTTGGCCATTTTGATGCTTTACTGGGCCCAGGCCCCAGGGAACTCAGTCTGCAGGTTGGGGAGGATAAGGTTGGACACCAGAATGAGGCAACCAGAGTCCTTGACTCCCTGCTCTTGTGACCTCAACCTCTCCCCTACTTTAAAGTGCTGAGCCAGGATACACAAGGCCTTTGGGACTGGAGCAGAAGTTCTCTGTGGCTTGATTTTTAGCCAAAGCCAGGTTGTCACTTGCCTTTTGTAAGTGTGGATTCTGCCCTCATTTGTCAGGTGAGTAACCAAGTAAGCATGCTGAAAAGTGACTTTCAGCCTTTTTACTAGTTGAGCTAACTCCAGTCATATCCCACTAGCAGAGACTTTGGGATAGGGCAGAACCATGGGGAAGGGGGACACTCAGGAGGAGACCTGGTAAACTTTCCTTTGAGCACCTGCAGGGGAAAGAATGCTTAAATTATTTTCGTGTGTAGATTTAAGAACTGCTTAGCTTTGTACTTCTAGATGTATGGAGAAGAATAAATAGGAACATTAGCTAGTGAAGGAACAGGAAAACAAAAACCCTCTAGGAACTGGGAGAGGTTTAGACTGCCCAGCCTGTAGTTCAAGGACCCCTACAATCTGGCTCCAGACTTACCTTCCAGCCTCATCTCCTAGCTGCTTACTCACCTTGACTTTTCTTCGTTCAGCCACCTGTCGGCCTACTGTCTTCCCTGATATCGTCATTCTGTCTCCTTGAAGTGCTAGCCCTATCTCCTCTTTCTGCCCTACACAGAAAGACAAACCCTGCCCAAACACAGTCTCACCATTTTGGCATGACTTATCCAGGCTCTCAGGCTGAAAATGAGAGCCCCTTCCTCTCCAGTAGGAGCTAGCCATGCACTTCCTTCTGATGTGGTTTGCCTTCTTGCCCTATTATTTCAGTCTCTGCTAGTTGATTCATTTTCTGTGTGTTGGTTGGGCATCCTCCAGGGCACAGTGTTATATGCATCTCAGCATCCCTCAGGTGATGCCTTGTGGTAAGTAGGTATTTAGTGAACTTGGTGGATTGAGTGAAGGAATGGTAACTACCTGCTAGGGAGTTAAGGGACCCTGGAGGGATCAAACAGCCTGCACAGGAAGCTATCCACCTGAGAGTCTCTGCAGAGCCTGGCCTGGGCACTAGTTCAGAGACTCCCAAATCTGGCCGTACACCAGAATCACCAGGATGCTTCCACTCCCTCAGGTTCTGAGTCTGTGGGTCTGAGGAGGTCTGGAAATTTCCCTAGGGCTTTTTACTGTTGGCCAAGGCAGGTTACATCAAGAGGGGAAGCCCTACTAGCTTCTAGGGCTAAGACCAGTGTGAGAGTCTTGGGGAACCTACCAGAGCAACGGATGTTAGAACACATGATTCCCATCAGAGTGCTTCGTCTAGGTGGGATCAGGCTTTCAAGAGTCCATGGGAACATGGCAGGGTTAGCTATATGATTACTGGTAAGGTTGAGGGTCCCTGTCCTCAGACTTTAGGCATTTCTTTGGCTCTGGTGCTCTGTCCTAGCAGCAGTGCCT